CCACGTCGTACGACGACGGACGAATTGACAGATCTCCAACCAATAGAAACACTTTCGTATCATCGTACCATCGTATAAACGGATGCATGGGACACGGGCTTTAGAAATGACACAGATGGAAAAAGTGTTTCTATTGGTTGAAGATTTGTCAATTCGTCCGCCGTCGTACGAACTGACAGATCTCCAACCAATAGAAACACTTTCGTATCATCGTACCATCGTATAAACAGATGCGTGGGAGACGGGCTTTAGACCTGTGAAAACGCAATTCTCCTATTCGTTTTTTGTTGTTTTGCTTAGTTCTGAGAAAAACCTGAACTGTGGATGTTTGTAATGGGATTAAAACTGCATCCATTAGCGGAGTGCTAAATGAAAGCCGAAAATAACTAAATTGTCCATTAGGCAAATGTTCGTTTGGGCAAAAAATGATTGAATCATGTACAGGTTTTGTTCAAAATTCCCATGCCATCAAGCTTCTCAAACACATTAAAAACCTGAAATTTCTGACCTAATTTTTCATTATTTAATAGTAGATTAATTGCAACAATTTTTGCATTATTTCCCACGTGAGCAACAATATTAATTAACAATGTGCAATTGCAATTAGTGTTTTTGCGCGGCTGAAAAATTACGTTGCAATATAGAGCATTATCGATTTAATTTCAAAACCTTGGTAAATTCTGAACTGGGGTTCCGTTAGCTTTTACGTAGTGGGAGGACTGAACCGAGCTAATCCAATGCTTTAGCTGTTAATATTGCGCAAAAGATTTTTAAGATCAGCTTTATCTGAAGGGAAAAGTAAATATTCTTCAACGATTGGCGGCCAGTTAAGTTTATATTTTGACTATTCGAAGCCGTGTACTTGAACCCAAATACTCCGTGATGGTTCTAATGAACGCGTTGAAAGGGTTATCGATTAGATTGATTTGCAAAGTAGACGGACTGGAACGGTCAAAATCTCAACGGAAAATTGCAAAGTTATACCTGAGCATTCGTCATTGGTTTTACTCAGGATTGAGGGACTTAGATGGTAATTTGCACACGCTGAGACGCTCTCTGTTCTATCGACTGTGATGAAAAGTGGTAGAGAATTTGTGAGGATTTTGCGATTTTCCACCCTTTACCGGTCGAATGTTTCGGTCCCGCACCGGCCAACCCCTGATCATCTAGAAACGAAAATAGAAAAGGTTTTATCTTTTTACATGTTTTTCGGCACTTACCTGCTCTATAATGAATTCCAATGTAATTTTCCGCTTTTATTCAACTTTGAACATTTTCCTTAAAAGCCTGTACAAAACGTGCGGTATGTGGTAGCTCACAGTTGAACTTTTTTTAACCAACCAAAGGCTATTTGTCGCGTGACTTTTCCATATCTAACTACCTGCAAAGGAATGGTTCGAAAAAACCGTTAAAAACCTGCCAATTTCGATTTTTTCATTTAATTTTTCTAGTCGAAACCATCGAAATCATCGAATTCTTTATAAAATCTCGGGCTGCTCGAACACTATCCACTGGTGCTTTTTCAACAGTGCAGCTTTCACAGGTTTCGAGAAAATCTAGGAACTTCGGGTTGTAAAAAACTGCAAATGTCTGAATAACTAGAATCAGCAAAGAGCTGGAGGAGATCTAATCACACCAGCCGATTGATCTTCTCTAGGATCAAAAATAAGCGAGCAATCGACGATTTTTTTAAAATTTGGCCTAATATTGTATGTGCGGATCAAAAACCCTAATGTTGTAGTGTATCTTATGGGAAACTAAGACTAGGAGGTCGATAGGATTAACAAGTCGAAGACATCTATATTTATAAAATGTATTTTGTAGTTCCTACTCAATATGATACAAATAACCAGACATTTATGCGGAAACGACTGAAAAAATCCTAATTTTTCCTAGTAAGACATGTTAGTTTCGATTGGTCCAAACATCAAGTTATATAACTAGGTTACGTCCATTAAAACCTATTAAAAATGACACTATTCACACAGTAAAAAACTTTATTTACAAAATTTGCTGGTATTTTCCTAGTTTTGATCCCCTAGCGATTAAAATTCAAAATGTACTGATTTGTGGATGATCGCTTTACCAACAGCTTTTCTTAGTGGTGTTTCTGGGGCAAATTATGGAAAAAACTAGCATGTTCACTAAAAAAAGTTGTTATCGGCAAAGAAAGCACAAACTTCGAACCCGATGGGGATAAAAACTAGGAGATGACCAAGTTACTTGATAGTTTAACCTACACCTACAAGGGTTCTTGTACTAAAACTTATCCATACAGTTTGATCAATATTCCTGGTTCGTTGTCTAAAAGGGCTTTGGGATGAACATTTCGCTCTCGATAGTTTACATGCAAACTAATCAAGTAGGTCGCAGCATTGAAAACGGTTGAAACTGAGGCGCTCCACCCTTTCATTGCGCATCGAACGGGCGTGTATGATAAGTACAAACCGCGCATATTACCGATAAAATCTATCACAGAATGTATTTAATTTCCTTGCGTTTAAAATTCCTGTTTACCCACTACGGATGTCACATTGAGCAATAGCGAAGGGACGGATGAAGTGTGAGTGGCTCAGTATTTGGGCACGTTGCTCAGCTGCACGTCTTTGCCCTTGTTGGCCGGAGTGCCGACGTGTCCGGGCGCCAGTTGCAAAGAGTTCAGTCGGTTGGCACCTCGAACCAGCCTCCAAATGGCCACGATTAGCAGCAGAACCCCGACAGCGAACAGAATCCCGGATAGAGCTGCATGCGCTATTGGTGGTACTGAGGTGGCCAGCTTCATCAGACCTGTCATTGCTTCCGGAAGATTATCCAGACCCTACAAACCGCATTGTTAGCTATACTCAATCTTACGAGAATGGTGGGGTTTTCGGATCAGTATTATTACGCATCACTGGTTTTTCAAGATTCTTT